CAAAAAAATATACGTATTTTGGAAATGTTGAGTCGAATTAGTCTAGAATCGATTAATTTTATGAAAGAAAACCTTTCAAACAGCCGTAGTCCGTAAACTATGATTCCTACAAAATTGATTCATAAAGAACGGAACGTATCTACCGTCTTATAGGGGGATCTACTGTATATATAAATGTAAAATGTTTATTTTTTTTATCAATACAATGAATATCTGTAAGACAGTTCCATAATTTTGTGCTAGGAATATTTATTGGCCTTAATTATAATGTACTTTTATGAAAAAAAAAATAAGTAATGCACTATAATTAAATTATTTAATGTAATGTTAAATTTTTTAATATATAACACATAGAATAAATAAAATATAAATTAAGAATTACATTCATTATTATTATTATTATATATTAAAAATATAGATAAAATAGAAATAACTTTTTGGAGAAAATTGTAAAATAAAATATATAACATTTATTTTGTTAGATATAAATGCTTTTCTAATGGTTAAAACTTTTAATTTCAAAACAATAATAATCACAATTTACACTTTTTAAACAAATTATGGTCATGTGAGTTGACAACTAATGATTTTCTGGTAAGCACAGATGATCATCTTTTTCAAAAAAGTGAAAATGCATTTTTTGTCAAATTATTATTTTTTGTTCATTCATATCTAAACTTAGACTTCAAATGAAAAAACCTGAACTATGTTATTCTTTTAGTATAAATTTCAAATGTTCATAACAGACTAAATTTGACAGTATTTCTAATAACAATGTTTCAATAATAAATATTAAGTATAAATCAAATAAAGTTTTTATATACTGTTTGCTTCTAATTACAAGAAATGGAAAATTATTGAATAATTGCTTCACTTGATTCTTTATTTTGTTTAATTTTTTGTTTGAAAATGAAATTAATGATAATTTTCTAATTGAATCCATTATTATATTAGTAAATTACAATATATTAGAATGCATTACAACAGTACAGTATTGGATAATCAAACAAAAAGTAAAATATGAGAGGCAGCATGAGGTATCTGACTTGGTGATGCTGTTGCTGGTAGTGCAACAAACATAACTTGCTTATGGCACCAAGTCTGATTTGTGGTATTACTAAACGTCTCACATTGTCTTGTGGCTTTTATTTGATTACCCTGTATGTAGTGTATGGTTTGAATCATATTTTTTAATTTATTTGTTCCTATGAAAATTGGTAAAATATTAATCTGCTTCTTAATTAATGTCTAAATAAAAGATAAATTTAAGTATATAAGAAAGTCTATTGTTTAATTAAATGATACCTTGAATAATTAATACATTAAAAACTACATCATAAAAAATAATCTTGTGTGATTTCTGTTATTTCTGAAATTTGTATTAATTAATATCAAAAATTATCATATTTGGAAATATTTTAGCAGATTTACAAATCACTTCAAATCTCTGCATTTTGTGAAAGAAAAATAAAGATAGAACAATTATAATAAAAGAAATATCTTAAAGATATTTCTTTTATTATAGAGGTGAAATTGGAACAATTCTCCAATCTTCATAATCATCAATTACATTATATAGTGTAAAATTTAAAAAACTTCTAGGATTATGTTGATTCTTAGCATTTCTAAGGCCATGCAGAAGATCTCATATTGTTCCAACACTTGCTTTTTGATAATATCAAGCCTCTCCCATTGAGTACAGTGGAACCCCGGTTAACGAACGTTCTGGTTAACGACCAAATCGGTTAACAAACTATTATTTTGCAAAACTTTTGTCTCAGATAACAAACAAAATTCGGATAATAAACTTAACGGCTTTTTGTGTCAAATTTGTAAGCTTGCCGACTTTTAGGGAAAATCAGTTAATCGTGTGTCGGTGATGGTCTAGGGTCCATTCGTACGTTGGTGATGGTGGAGGAGACAAAGATGACAAGTATTTTACAGTGAAAATCGTTTATTAGAACGGGAAGATGCTTACATATTTGAGGTAGTTGGAAATGGCTTATCTACAGTATTTTCTCTCGGCACTGAGGAGTGGCTTATCGCTGGTCCTACGATAGTGCAAGCTGATCAGTCGTAGCCCCAGAGCGGACGAGATGGGTTTGCTTGGTCACAGAAGCGATGGTAGGTGAGAGCCGCAAGACTGGAGCGGTCCGCGAGACACAACACAAATTTTAGCGGGAACGACTTCAGGCTTAATCCAAACGAAGACGACACAGATTAATCGCCATAGAATTTTTAGGAAACTGCGTTTTTACCTTGATATTCGGGGTTTTTATAGTATTTCTTCATTGAATCTCACCTTACGATTTGTCCTGTGTCCCATTCCTCGCTTCCCGATTGTTTTCTTCTTTGTCTCCAGGTGAAAACTGAAACCAGATCAGGTCACGAGGTTTGTTCCGAGGCGTTTATTTGATACCTGTTCGTCGACTCTGATCGGAGATTGTTGATAAACCTATAAGCCTTTCGCTCATAATTTAGCCTATTGTTTCTGCTATCTGTCATTTTAGAACTTTAACGATCGTATGTGATGTTTTTTATACCCGTCAAATCTTTCCTTTTTTTCCAAAAATTTAACGTAGATCGACTGTTTATGAGCACGTTTTCCTATATTTTCATTAAAGAAAACCCATTTTACAAATAAAATTACAAAAATACTGATGGCTAGAACGCATTAATTGTATTTGCATTAATTTCTATGGGAAAAATTGCTTCGGTTAACGAACGGACTCGTGGAACAGATTACGTTCGTTAACTGGGGTTCCACTGTATATTAACCAGATGAAAAATGTTTTGTATTGATCTTGAGACACTCTACAATTTTGTAATTCGTGCCATTATCTTTTATAAGATTTCCCCCCCTGCAAAATGGGATTGGGTGTGGTGTCTGGCATCTAAACCAACAAACAGTCTACTACCAATTACTTATAGTCCAGTGCAATTTCATTTAGTTATTACATAGCAGAAGTGAGATGTAACCTGGTGCAATATTTTTATCTACATCCTGTATAATTATGATATAATGAATAAAATTCAATTTTTTCAATTAAATACAAATTCAGTTTCATTTTCATTTCCTTCAATAAATAAGTCAGACTTTAAATAATTAGTTACTTTAATTTAGAATATAAATTTTATAAAATGAATCCGATGAAATATAATTTGCTTTTTATGCATTTTTAAATTAATATTATTTTAAAAAAGATTAATTAATGTCTTTTAGTTTTTATACTCAGGAAGAATGTCATACTCCATTATTCTCAATCAATCAGCATATGAATCTTACAATGAGTATGATTGTTCATTAATTTAAATGGAATTTATTGTTGGTGAAAATAATATTAATGCTCTCAGCATTACACATACTCAGAAATAAAAAAAAGCTTTTTTTAATAGCAGGTTTAAAATAATAAAATCTGCATGTGATTTTTAAGGTGATAAAATCATATATTTTTGCTGTTGAAATGATAAATCAGAATTAAAAGTTTTCTAAAGTAATTTAATTCATAAAATATACGAAATATAAATTATTGATGAAGTGATTTTTGTTGTTATTGTATTTGAATTTATTCTGGCTAATTATAAAATTGAACTTTTTTTGCTGATATAATAATGTGTCAATAAGTCAATTTTTAAAACAATTTAAATAATAATTAAGTTAAACACAACATGGTTTCACTTTTATTATTAATATTAAACAAATGAATCTTGTGCTGGAATTATTGTATTGTTCTCATCATTTTGAACTATATGTTTATAGTTGTCCTGAAATGTTACAAAAGTATGTGTTGTCTTAGATTCTGATTTTATGTCTTTAAAATCTGAAGCAGATGATCTCAAACCCATTATAAGAGAATTGCGAATATCACTACTGTGTCGTGACCATCTCTTCTGAAATGACTTTGATGATCTTCTTAAAATTCCAACATCAACTTCATCACTGTATGATAAATCTAATGATATACAGAAATATTTCATATAATAGTCATAAGTTTAATAATAGTATATTATTAAATATTTTATAACTAATTTGTATTTTATTGTGGTCAATTTATATATATAATGATTTTAATGATTAATGCTCTGTAACAAAAAGTATAAATAGTAATTTTTAAAGAAAGAAATTCAATAAGTAATCAATAGAAAATTGCCACAATAGTCTATTGATAAAAAATACCTTACAATAGTAGCTGCAAACCAATTTAAAATATTTGTTTGTTATTGAACATATTTAAAGTTCTAAACACTAGAAACAAATGTACTGGATAAATAATTTAATTTATAGAAAGTAATTTATACCATTTTAACCTGGCAAAATTATAGCAGATGAAATTTTTGGCCATCTTGAATATCATTCATTCTCAGATTCCAGAAAAAAATTATATTTGAATTGCAAAAAAAATCATATGATGAAACAACAAATATATAACAATGTGATTTCCTTCAAATAACTCACAAGTTATCTGTTTTAAATTACAATTAAAAGCTTGCCTAACAGTTTATCCTTTGTCTAAACTTACTAAGAACGCCACTAAAAATCATGAAAACTCTTTTGTGTAATATAGTTTTTTTAAATATTGTAATTTGTAAATTTAATAATATATCCTAAACCTGAAGATGACATTTTGAAATGTCAAAAGTATTCATTTTTAATTAAACAACTTTAATACTGATAGACATGTTTTATTCTTATTCTATATTTGGCATCATGAGACCACGCACCTGTCAGTTTGACTTTTTCAGGAAATTATGAAAAATACATACAGGTATGCCTCAACTTTAGTTCTCTTGTTTTCTATTGTATATATCAATTCATATTTTTAGATGTTTCTATTTATGTAACATTGAATATAAATATGTTCTTCATGATGCCAAATATAGAGTAAGAATGAAGCAAACTGTCTATCAGTGTTAAAGTTGTTTACTTCAATTATTTAATTAAAAATGTGTACTTTCAACATTTCAAAATGCCATCTTCAGGTTGAGCATACACTATTCAAATTACAATATTTAAAAAAGCAGTTTGCTTTATTCTTATGTAACACTGATATTATCCACATGAAAAAATTAAATTAAAAATATTTTTAAAGTTGTTTTTAGCATTTATTATTATTATAAACATAAATTTTCAAAATACTTTTTCATGAGCAGTTAGTCAATTTCATTGACAATGACATGTGACTTAATAATTATAATGCTAGTGACCTAGAAATTTTGCACTTTTTACTGCTATAAAGTTTATTTTATTGACTAAAGTAACTATATCTATTTAACCTGCTATTCTTAGATTGACCATGTAATGTTTCATTTTTTATGTCTGACAGCATTACTTTCTGCCATTCTATTAACAAAATCAAAACTAAAGATAACTTCATTACCATTTTGATTTATTTTGTTTCATTTTATTAAACTGTATGGTGTAATGGGTAGAATCTGTCTTATTTTTTACTTTAATGTATTATTTCTTTTAATTTGGGATATTTATTTAGTTAGAAGAAAAGACTTTACACTCCTGCTAAAAAATTAAGTAAAAAACTGACCTACCAAAAACCTATTGTGATAATGCACTATCTACTGAGCATGCCCGTAGGCCTAACAAAATTTTGCGTAACACACATGGATTTTATTTAAAATCTCAACTATAGAAAACACAGATATTATCAGAGGAAAATAGTGGCTAGTCATTTTTCTTGGCATTACTTTTATAATTTTAATAAGTTCTAAACATCATTTTATAAATGAATACAGACAACTGTATCTATTGTGAGGTCACTGACTGTTATAAAAGATGACTAATGGAGTAGTTAGTGTGTTGAAACCCTAGCTTCCTAGTAATGATTCATCTATCAGAGACTTCACTATACCAGTACATTTGTCGTCTTTTATAAACACAGGAATAGTTAGTATTACTATATGTTGATTTATGGAAACCTAGTTGTAAGTGTGGATTAATTTTTGTTATCTAAAGCATTGTTAAATTATGTGTATACTACCAGACTATTTTCCATGTTAATCTCAAATAATTTCCTCCCAAAATCTCTATATCTCAAATTACGGACTGAAGTGTCAATTACAAATTCAAAACTCAGTGACTACATTCTGACAGCATGAACTGTAGTTGAGAATGTTGTTATATTGCAAGAGTTGTTTAACTCTTGCAATATAATAACATGGTTACAATTATAGCTGTTTTTTTCTGATTAGCTATGAGTTTGGCTAGCATCTTATTGGTTGAAGAAAGTTTGGCATCAGAAACTATTTACAAACTATTTTTCTTAAGGTTTACAGAATCACTACATTTAAACAAAACATACACTAATCATAATTTCAAAATTAAAAAATTTTGAATTCTGAATGAATGTCAATAACACAAGGCCAAAAGACACAACTTCATTATTTGTGTTCATTCAGTTTAAGATTGAAAGGGTTAATATCCATTTTTCAATGGCCAAATTCAGATTTTTGACTCTCTACTATATATAATCACCACAAATATATAAATTCAATAAATAACTATTTTTCATCTTAAATTGCAGTGAATGTAAATGTGTACACATACACTTTGTACATATATAAAATGCAGTCAGTAATATAAAAACAGTGAATATGACCAAGAAGATAATGTGAATAGGGACAAAAATAACAAAATAATTTTATCAAATGCTAAAAATGAAAAGGGCATTTACTTAGTAACATATTCAAATTGCAGATCTCAAAGTAACCAGCTTACTTTGAGATCTGTTTCTCTTCACTAATTCAAAAACAGTTATTGAAATTTTATTGTTACTATTTCAAATTAACAAACAAAATTATTAATTATACTATTCATACATTCCATGTAAACATGAAGTTATTCATTACTTAACTTATTATTCATAACTTTACAAACTACAAAACTCTTAAATTTAAAATATAATTAAATCTCCTTCTCTGATTACTTGTTGTCTAAAATTATTCATTAATTACATGATAATCTATTATATTTTAAATCTAAGAGTTACAAATTTTGAATCTTCCATTAAACATAAAATTTTTGTAACATCTATAATAATGAAAATAAGAATAACTTACAACTATCTGATTTTAAAGGAATAGTTTCATATTTCCCAACAGGTGGCCAATTGTTGCCAATAGAAAGATCAACTTTTTCATAGCGATGAATGGGACCTTTCATTTTTTTGAGTGCGGGAATAACATGTTCAAACAAGAATTTTTGAACAAAATATACCTAAAAATAATCAATATGATTATGCATATAAATGATGTCTAATTTTCTTGATAATATATAATTAATTAAAATATATGCAATTATTGTGTGAGAATTCGAGAGTAGAGAACAATTGTATTTAATCAGTAAAAAAATTTATTCAGTTAATCAACAATTTAAAGTAACATTTTAACATCAAAAATGACACATTTTGTCACTTTTCATGGGAAAAAAAATAAAACCTCCCTTGGAAAAGATGTTATCACACATCTCTGATGAACATCTGGCTGTTTGACTCCCCATATGTCCTGTCAGATGATCTAAACTTTAAATCCCAATTGGAGGAAAGTTAAAATAAAAAGGAAAAACCCTGCAAATTTGAGGCAGCAATAACAAGAAACTGCCATAATAGCCAGCAGACAATAATAATAAGCAACTGCCATAAAGGAGACAGATGACCCAGGAATGACTCTGTCATATCGAAGGTGGACTATGGCATAGAAGCTAACGAACTCTCTCCAATATAGTAACCCAATCCTCTCTGAAGGTAACTCAAGTCTCTTTCTGAAAGTAACTCCGTGCTTTCAGAAGACATTGAGTAACCAGAGGTATTATTATTTGAACAAATTGTAAACTCTCTCTTTTAGAGATGTATGTAGCTTAGTTAGTTGATAATTTAGTTTGTTTCATTTTATTGTTTATACCCAATCTATATACCTATTAAATTCTTTGTTATTTTTTAACCAACCTGTCTGATCATCTGAGTTTTATAGACATCTGGACTCGCAACAATTAGAAATTATCCACGACTTCCCTCCCCACTTGCATTTAAGACCCTCCTATATTTTAATGCCATCCAATGACACCGTGAGCAGGTCATAACATCCCAATGACTAGAAAGTTCTACCTTCATACATATTCTCACAATTGTTTAGAATTAAATTAATATAATTTGAGAATTAATAATCTACATATAAATCCTACTTTTATAAAATTATGTTAATGGTTAACAATGGTATGCTAATGGTTAACAAAAATGTTATTTTTTAAAATTTATAATGTTTCTGAGTACAACAGTATTTGAAAACAATGAACAATAAAATATTTTGTTCATATAAGCAATGTTAAGTTAATAGAATTTTTTAATTGCTATTTATGTAAAGAATAAAAAAGACAAACAATAACAGCAATATATCAATCTCTCTTATCCTAATTTTTAAAAAAAATTACCAACATATATACAGTAGTAAAACCTATATAAATCAGAATCACATGGTACAAAATAATTTTTTCTGTTTTAACAGATTTTAGTATATATTTTTTAAATCTTTAAACTATACCAGATAAATGTCATACAGTTAATACTTTCTTACAGTAAAATCACTTTTACATGTGCAAAAAAGTTTTATTACTATGCTCAATCCAAAGTGATTCCAACTGAACCTGGGAGTATTTGAAATCAAGAATTGAGACCTATTTGACTGCAAAAAGTTCTTGTTATTCTCAGTACTTTTAATTGTGATTGTTAATTTATTTCCAATCAATAATTAACTTTTGGTTGCTGTAATAAACATATTTCTCTTAGTAACATAAAAGAATAGTATACTTATGTTAACTTTTGGAACATAACATCATGTTTTTTATTAGTCCTGTGTTTTTTATAGCACAGATTCACATAACACAGCACTTTTTTGGAATGTAACTACTATGTTATATGAGAAAAACCTATACTTTGATTAATATCATGCAATATTTTAATACAAAATAAAAATTAATTAAAATTATATGCATATTTGATAAATTATTTCCTGTAAAATTTTGAAAAATAATTTATAGAAAAAGTGTAATGTTTAAAAATGCTTAATATTTTTAGAAAAATATCAAAATGTAATACTTGAATATTCTTAGTTTTACTTTAATAAAAGAAAAATTCAATAGTATGAATTTAATAATTACCTCCCAAATGTATGAGATTACAAAATTTCCAAGGCAAATGGCATAAATAGTAAGATGATAATCTAATGTTGGTGCTCTTTTAAACTGCAAATATAAAATTTATATTAATAAAACATTAACATCTTCAAAAGTAAATTTGGAACAGTTGTTACATTAAATGAGTAATTACTTTTTTTAAATCAAGAAACCATTTAAAAGAAAATATTTTTCACTTTCTAAGACTTTAAGTTTCATTAATATAGTTAGAAATTTAATTTAATGTAGTTTTAGAAGATTTAAAGTTACATTTATTAATTAATACCTCAATACTATTTTCATAAAATCATAATGTTTATTTCAAAATATTTTTTATTCATGCTTACATATATTCATCATTCAGTTCAATTATGGTATGCAATTTAGAGATCAATGTTTAAATAAAAATACAAGACAAAAAATTTATTATTATTTAACTTGTAGAATAAAACAGAATATCAACTTTTTACCATAATTTATATATTTTTTATTATATATACAAATGATATAAATAAAATCCAAATCAATTATCTCTTTAAATTAAAGAAGTCCTTGGAAAATAACAAGAAATTTTTTTTCAGATTAAATCTCATCCTTAGAATCAGTCTTAAAGAATTGATCAAAACTAGCAATTTTTCAAATGTTGGTTGAAATACTTTGTTTTATGATATTTTCATTTGAAGATGAGATTTAATCTCAAAGACATTTTGACAAAGACAAGTTTTCCAAGAACTTCTAAAATTTAAGGAGCCATCATTAAGGGTTTGAATTATAAAAAAGTGTGGCTTACTGCCTTAGTTTTAGTGACAACCCCCACATCCAGTCTAAGTTGAGTAATGTCAAAAAAAGGAAATCTCAGAAGCTATAAGGGTGAAACAAAAGTATGTGGAAGTAGAGAAAAGTAAAGGAAAAGCACGGGGAGTGTGGAACAATGGAGCTATGGACAAGGCTATGGACAGGTGTAAACTGAGAAGATTTGGGGATTGAATGATGAGTGTGAAGGGATTTCCAAAGTCTGCTAGAAATTATTGTGGCTACACGCCATATTTCCAATGTATATTTTGTATAAATGTATATTACTTTAAAACTGTTGTTCCCTGTCCCCCTTTCTATCTTTTCTATTGTCTTATTTTTCTGGAATGTTCTTGTTTAACCCTCCTTCTTGGTATGTGGACAACTAATCTATGAGAACAATAGATGGAATGCAACCCTGAGGGTGAGAAGGGTAACATGTGGCTCATTCCGGAGCAGGAACCCAGAGAGGTAAGATGGCAAAATCGGTCTCCCCAGTATGTTTTAGCCTCGCATGGTAGAGACAAGGACTTTGGGAAGAGAGAGAATAATTGATTGTGAGGAATATAAAACACAGTCAGCCCTTCAAACTGATTATAAAATAGTGAGAGAATTGAGCCCATTCATGATTCCAGGAAGAAATATCATCTCAACATACCAACAACAAATAGAATATTGCAACAGATTGTGGATACCCTCTTTCCTATCCCCTGTTCTTATTCTTTAGTTTTTCTAATTAATTATTTTATTTTTATTAGTTATAAGTAGTCATAAGCACCTAGACAACTAGGTGCTTATGACTACTTAGTTATGTTATTTATTATTATAACTACTAGTTATGTATAATTTTAGATAATTTGACGATTGATTCGGGTATGTGTTGCCACGTGAATTTTATTGTTGGGAATTGATCTTGTCTTATTTTTCTATTGTGCATTATTTAGTGAGAGAGGTATTTGTTGGCATCCTAAAAGAATCTTGTATTGCAACGAGCAAGTAATAAATTTCTTTGTTATTTTATTCCTTTGTCTATACTTCGCTCTATCACTTTCACATTATAAACATGAACATTAGCGTATGACTGACTATTTTTGCTTTTTGTGCCTGTTACTAACTGCATTTAAACTCTGGACATTAAAGTTATTGTATAACTTATTATCTTTCTCTTATTGAGCCCTGAGAACAGTGGATCTATGCTAACAATATAGTAACCCAATCCTCTCTGAAGGTAACTCAAGTCTCTTTCTGAAAGTAACTCCGTGCTTTCAGAAGACATTGAGTAACCAGAGGTATTATTATTNTAAAATCATTAACATTTATCTGAAGTCATATAAAATATATCTCAAACATTATAAAGACTGAATAAAGTAGAATATGTAACATCAATATTACAAATTAATATCATACGAAGCATACCATGAAGTAAAATAAGCAGCTGAAACTTGCAACTGATATCCTGCATTTCTAAACAGAATGTATTATTCAAAATGTTTTAAACCAGACTGAACTTCATTGTAGGTTTTGGAACAGTTATTGAGATTCCTCCAACAGATCACATTAAAAACTAAACTTTTTTCCTAAAAATCTTGGAGATATTAGTGACAAACATGGTGAATGGTTTCATCAAGCTATTTCAACCATGGAAAAAAAATATCAAGGTTGCATGAATTCAATGATGCTGAGAGACTATTTCTGGCTTCTTGTGAGTGTGTGTGTAGTAGAACAAGAGGAGATCAACGTCCAAGCAGTATTTTTGAAAAATTTATGTATGCTTTTGAAACATTTGGATTTGTTTAATGTTCAAGATGCTTAACAGTTGTACATGTCACAGTACAGAGTTATTGCAGGTCATCTTGCAGAACAGCTGTTTTTGGTGCTGGGCTTTTGATATCCTGTGGGATCAAAACAATGTCCAAATTCAATGTAAAAATATGGATCATCATTGTGGTGTTACAACACCATTTTAATTATTTTTATTATTATGATTTTATTTTTATTTTTGATATTTTTGTAACAGTTTGCCCACAGTAGGAGGAGCCACCTTACCTTAAGCGGAGGGGCACTTAAGGTGTCCCTCTTTGTGTTGGACATCTTTTTTTGTTTTGCATTTCACCAAGAAAGAGGGCAAGAAAGCAAGCAAGGACTACAAATGTGGAAGTGTATAGAACTTTATTTTTATCCATTTGCATAGACATTTTTGGGGACAATTCTTCCAAACAAACTACCTCAGGACTTTCCTATTAATAAGATTCTACAAGGTGAAATAGTTTTGTGCTAAAACAGGAAAAACGGGAAAATTTTGTAATCAACTTCATGCACTTAATATTGTAGTCTTGTTGAGTTTGTTGTACAAATTAAATCAGATTCTCCTTAGTCTGGTACTATCGGGAATTACACCATCCTGATGTACATGCTAATGCTCAAAACTGTGTAAATACAGAAATAAAACCACATTTAGTATGATTTTCACAGATACATGTGCTATATTGATATAATATTCTGTATGTATATCCAAACCATTTGTAATTAATTATTTATCATTGCTATGCATGCTAACTATTTAGTATGCCCCTATGCCCTATGCCTGCATGGGCCCTTTCAACTGGTACTATATATTATTAAAAGTAAAATAATTTTAAAAATTAATATAACATACCAATATAATAATTTAATAATTAAATTTGAGTAAATTTTATTAATCAGATACATTAAGAATAAAGATGAAAATAAAAATTTTTACTGTTTGTATAAAAAGGTTTTCTATACGGAGGTCCTGAAGCAAATATAACAGCTGCAATAACATATGACATTGTATTGATGCTGATAATGGTTGTTCCTGAATATGCAGGTTCAGGATAATGAGCTTTAGTATGATTGAAATGAAATGTTTCATACCTATATAAAAAGAACAAATTATTCATGATTAGTCTCAATTTTGGTTTAGCATAATAAACTAGCAGGCTATATTTGGTTTTAATATAACTATTAGGCTTGTTTATTTAAATTATAAATTGTTTCTTAATAAATAAAAAGTTTTAAGTACCATGGTTGGGCAAGACAATAATAATATCCAAATATGTGTACTCCAATTTGAAAAATAATAAATGATATCATAGAAAACTGAGGAAGAAAACTGAGCATTGTTCTTACAGGTAGCCGTTTCACAAGTCCAGTAAAAGGTTCAGTACCACCAACTAAAATAATAATTTTTTAAAAATAAATATGAAATTATTCTCTTATTTCTTTCGTGATTTGTAAAACAAAAATCTTTTTGGTGCAATATTCTATGCTGAATTTCAATTGTCTACAATTGCAGTGACTAAATTAACAGTGCAAGTATTTGTTATATACTGTATTTTGACGAGTATAAGTCACACTTTTTTTTACTACTTTTTGGGGCTCAAAATCATGGTGTGTCTTATACTCGACAGGTAACCATTTTTACAGTGAAATTATCTACAGTAGTAGTCCACTCTAGAGACCAACCTGTGCAGTGATCTGTTAAGCACATGGTCCCTCAACTGAATGGCTAGAGTACCTAGATTATCAAAATAGTGACACATGAGTCATCGCCACCATGTTCTGTCGACTGTCATCACGTGACCTCTGAGTTTACATTAATTTAAGAAATGACGATTATTTCAGTTTAATAAAGGTATCGATTCACCCATCTGTCATATTCTTGAATAAAAAAAAACGAATAAAATGCATCTTTTTAATAAAAAAATGAATAAAATGCAATCTCCCATTAAAAAAGTTTTTTCTAGATTTTCTGTCTCAAAATAGGGGTGCGTCTTATACTCGACAGCGACTTATACTCGTCAAAATAAGATAATTTATTCATACTCTAACTATACAGGTGACCCTTAACTTTCGCACATACCTGGTTCCTGAAAGTGTGTGTGAATGTTGAATGTTCGAAAGTACAGGGATGTAAAAAAATATGCACCAAAAACTGTGTTTAAAATATTTATTCCTTAATTTTACTCTTATTTTTCAAAATTGCACATATTGTAGATCTGTTTGTATCATATGAACATCTGAGTGAAGCAAAAGATTCACCATTTTCAGAACATTTAATTATTTTCATCTTCGTCTCAATTGTATGAAGTTTATGAGTCCTTAATTTCTTTTTGTTCATATCAACACTGCAGTTTCTCTGTTTCTCACTCATGATTATCAATTTATAAGGATGAAATATTTAAACATAAACAAATAAATTGGCAAAACACACAAGTTGATGCATGCCCTAATGCAAGACTAAAACTGTTTTGACCTCTTGCTCGGAACAACACAGTAGTGATTAGGATTCTGAGAAATTCGCTATTGTAGGAAGTAATGTGTGTCCGAGAACGTAGAGCTACCACACTTTGTAGTGTATGAGCGTTCTGCATGAAAGGAAACTTTTTCATTATCGACAAAAATATTTAAAAAGTTGAACTTTAAAAAATGTGCAAAATAGCGAATTGTGCGAAAGTCGAGGGGCGCCTGTAGTATGAATAAATTATATTACAAATATTTGCATAAAATATTACAAATATTTGTATAAAATATTACACCAAAAAGTTTTTTGTTTAACGAATTACAAAAGAAATAAGAAAATTACTTAAACTCTGAATCCCAGTAAAATAAGCAAAATAGCGAATTGTGCGAAAGTCGAGGGGCGCCTGTAGTATGAATAAATTATATTACAAATATTTGCATAAAATATTACAAATATTTGTATAAAATATTACACCAAAAAGTTTTTTGTTTAACGAATTACAAAAGAAATAAGAAAATTACTTAAACTCTGAATCCCAGTAAAATAATTAATATAAAAGTATGTTTCAAATAATTATACATACTGTAATTGCTGTTCATAATATTTGTGCAATAACAGTATCATTTCATACAGTTTGATAATTTTCAATATATTTATATAATGTTCTTTACATTAAGAATATATAAAAATATTTTAATTATTATTATGTATTAAAAGTTGATGTTTTCTACATATCAATCTTAATAGAAACATTAATTTTTTTTTTGTGAGTAATTTTTTTCACTAATCTCTAAAATAAATATAAATTGTATTTTTTAGGATATAAAATTTTTATATTTATGATATTAATAAAAAAATCATTCAGTCTTACAAGTCATTCTGTTATTTTTAATAAAAAAATAACAGAATGACTTGTAAGACTGAATGATTTCTATGAAGAATTTTTAAAACACATAATCATCTATAATCAAATGTGACAATTCACTTACATAAAATTGGTGGTAATAAGTTCATTACAATATCAATCATAACATAAGCTCCTTCTGATGGTTTTTGACCATCCTAAAGAAAGAAATAAATAAATATCTTTTATATATCTTTTTAATCAAATTTAAATTCTAAGAAAATAATGATTATTAATCTATCATTTTTATGATTTGAAATGTCAAAAATGGGGTTGCCAGGCACTTTGGAATAAAATCCATGTCAAAATGAGTTACTTCCAAAAGAGACTGGAACACTTCAATTCCAGGACATGTAGGATGTGTATTTTTACTCTGCCAGTATTGTATTTAAAGGTTTTGTTGTTTCTTTTAATGCTTTTTCCAGTTAAAGTTGTTATTAAAAACATGTATACTATCTACTATATAAATGCTAAATACATTCTTTTAACACCCTGTACAGTAGACCCCCCTATAACGCTTAGATACGTTCCACGCTAACCAAAAATTACGTTGTAGGAATGAGCCAATCGCATCCCGATAGGTGGGAACTTTACGGACTAAGGCTGTTCGAAAGGTTTTCTTCTATAAAATTAACCGATTCTAGACTAATTCCACTCAACATTTCCAAAATACGTATAATTTTTTGGGAATAATCTGTATAAACTATGCTATAAACAAAAAATTGTAGGATTACTTACACCGTTCGACTACGCCGTTGCTTAAAGCTGGTTTTCATCGCGGAACAGCACNACTGCAAACCGTGATACTTATTGTGACATTGTGACAATGCCAGGTTGCAATTTTTAATCATAGTTTTAATTTATTTAATTTAAACTATATGCTCTCAATTTCAAATTAGTAGTGTCTTATCCCTATACATCATACTTCTAATAACAACAGAGTCATGCTAGTCATCTATGTAACTACATTATGGGGGAACTTTTTGAAATGAAATCATGTGACTTCTGGTCTAAACCAAAAGTTTCTATATAGTTAATTGGGGCCTCCTGCCCCTAAGCTTTCCATATCTGGTCTTGACTTTCATCTATCAAACACTATTCTCAAGATTAAGGAAGGACAGACAGACAGAAGACAATGGAAATTTATAGGTCTCCAATTTTTTCAAATTGCAGCCCAAACAATGTTAAAACAGCTGGAAAAGAAATTTTTATCGTTAAAAGATTCAATTACAAGTTGTTCTGAAGATAATATATTTAGGAATTGTGTTTACCTGAAATAATGAATTTAAAGAGCATTTAATATATACCACACTAATGCATTGTAAAAATATCTAGTTTATATATTGTCTAGGATAAAAATATCTGATCTAAGAAATCGATTTAAACTATTTAAAGCCCTAGTACTTTCTATTTTATTGTACACTTTCCCAATGTGATCATAAGAATATATATGTAAAGTAGAAAACATATAACTTTTTTACATTTAATCCTTCAAGTAAAGCAAAATATTCTGGAATATGCATTAAATTATGAAATGAACAGATTTTATATCTTTTCTTTTATACATAAAACAAATATACAGTAATACCTCGATTTACGCAAACCCGAAGTTACATGATTTTCAAATCGCGTCGATTCATCTTTTGTTTGAGTGCCACGCAATTCTTGATTACTCACTCCCCCCACACTATTGTTCAGCTTACATGTTTGGATGTGTTGCATGAATCAACACATAGCCACAATTTATTTTGTGTAATTTATTTCTCTGTTTGCTATATGGTTGGCTTTCTTTGTCTTTTCTGACCCTAATTCGGTGGCTTTTTTTCCTGGTTTCTCAGGTTTCGCTTGGGTTACCCCCAAGTGACAACTCCAAAAGTCAGAAAGGAACTCATTAAACTCAGGCACTTAGCTATATCCTGGACAAATATCAAGGTTGATGATTTCCTTCACATCACTAGGTGTTATAACTGCTGTGGAGTTAATCATATAGCACAGGAGTGCCCTGCAAGCCAACATTGTAGCCACTGCTCAAAGGGTCACCATTTTAAAGAATGCAACCGAAAAGATCAGCCTCTCTGTTGTATAAATTGTAAGACCTATAACAAAGACTTGCAATCCGACAAAAGAATACCAACCAATCACAATGCCTTTGATCCTTACTGTCCGCAAATCCTCAGATTAAAGGAGCAAGCTATCAAAAAGACCAATTATGGATACTAGGCTTATCAAACATAATATAACACTACTACAAATTAATCTGCAAAGGTCTAAGGCAGCCACAACCGAAGCCCTCCAAACTGCCATTAATCATCAGGCTGACTTACTAGTGGTGCAAGAGCCCTATTGCTTCAAACAGAAGATTGCTCTCTTTGGCAACTACAACACTCTTTACTATACCAATGGTCACGACACCCCTCTCACTAGGGTCATTATTATGAACAAGAACATTGACGCCCAACTTCTGGTCCACCATAGTACCAGTACCTACTATTACACAACAACTCTCATCAATGTTGGTGGCAATCTGATTATAATCGTCTCTTTCTACTGTGCCCCTTCTGAGGACATCAACATCCCACTGGACTGTCTTCAAACTACCATCCAGCAACTCAACAACCACCCTGTCTTAATTGCCAGGGACTTCAATGCCAAGTCCGCTCTGTGGTACAGTCCAATAGAGGATCCCAGAGGTTACAAGGTTACTGAGTTTATGAACTTACTGAACTTTCAATCTCAGAACACCAGCATCCTTCCCACCTACTCCTGTATGACTGGTGAGGGCTGGGTGGACCTTTGTTTGGCTAAACGGGCAACCTCCTGGCTCTTACACTCCTGTTCCACACTAGCAGAGCACTCTGTTAGTAATCACAAGTACATTAAAAGTATCATAGGCACTCCAAGCTTAAGGAAGAATGTGCATATTGTTCAGAAAACTGACTGGGAGCAATTTCAAAGCCACATAAAACAAAACTGGCATTGTGGCCCTATCACCGATATCACAAACACCGAAGAGCTAACTACCATCATTGACGACCTTCAAAAAATCATTCATATTGCCTATCATGCCACAACCAAAGTTAAAACTGCCAGGCTCTCTGCTCCCTGGTGGACTCAAGAGCTCTCAAACCAGAGAAGGTTTTTAAGGAAAGCCAGGAACAGTTACAGGAGAGAGAAAAGAACACAAAAGAAAATCTCAGACAGCATTACCTAACCCTCTTCAGGAACTACAAAACTGCAATTAATTGAACTCACACCAACTCCTGGCAAGATTTCTGCTCGAGCATAGGTAACTCAAGGCCCTGGTCCACTCTGTACTATATCGCCAGGGGCAAAATCAAGAACACTAGGATCCCTGGTACTCTCAACCAGAACATTAGCAACCTCAGCACCTCCATTTACAACACTTACTCCCAGATACTACGAAACTTATTCCCAACTGACGACCCAACACAGGATAACAACTACCAAGCCAACATCCACTATCACTGCAATGAAAATTTGTCCACCACAGATGAAGCCCCTTTTACAGCCCAGGAGGTTGTGAGGGAATTCAACCATCTTAAACTCAGGAAAGCACCAGGCCCGGATTCAATTTCACCCAAAATGGCCTACGAAGCCATCCCCACCACTTTCCATCTAGTATTCAAAAAGTGCCTCCAGCTAGGCCTTTTCCCCAGCTCATGGAAAGTGGCCTCCATCAAATTGATTCCCAAGTGCAACCAACCAACAAACTCATTGGACTATAGACCTATTTCGCTCTTGCCAAAGATTGGGGAAGTATTGGATGCCCTCATGGTAAACAGGGTGCAGCACTACTGTGAAGTGGGGAACAAAATCAATACCAACCAACACGGCTTCAGGAAAGGCAGAAGCACCATCAAGGCCTTAGACTCCATTATAAAGTACATCCGAGAGGCCAAATCAAGAGGGGAGATATCATGGTGATTACAATAGACTTTCAAGGTGCTTTTGATCACTCGTGGTGGCCGGCCATCTTAAAAGCACTAACTGACAGAGGGTGCCCCAGAAATCTTTTCAATCTCTATAGGAGCTATCTCTCAAACAGGCAGATCATCACTTCCACAGCCAACAATCACTACTGCAAGAAAGATGTAACTAGAGGGTGTCCCCAAGGCTCCTGGTCGGGCCCCTTACTCTGGAACCTCATGTATAATAGCCTGCTGGAGCTCAGCTCCACCTTTTCCACAGAATACACGTGCAGGATATAAGGTTATGCAGATGACACTATAGTGGCCATCTCGCATAGGAACCAAGAGGTTCTTAAGACAGGGCCAATGACATACTAAAGAAAATTTCTCACTGAAGCACCAACAGGAAACTAAAAATAAAATATGAGAAGTGTGAATGCATTCTCTTTTCCCGCAACACTCCTCTCCAGAAAAGATCCACTATCAGAATAGACGGAATATGGATTAAAAACAAGAAAGCCGTCAAGTACTTGGGCATCATTCTGGACAACAGACTAACATGGCAGGACCATGTCCACTATACCTATGAAAAAGCTATCACAGTTTTCATTCCCTTTATTCCATCGCCAGGAACCGCTGGGATTATGGGAGTGAGACTTCTAGACTCCTATACACTGCAGTTGTGGAACCAATATTACTCTATGGCACAGAACTATGGGGAAACTCCGTGAGGAAAACCCACATCAAAAGAAAACTGCAATCGGCCCAGAGACTTTCTGCAATCTCCATCACGAAAACCTACAAAGCCGCACCAACTGATGCCTTACTTGCCATCGCTAACATCATCCCCATTGATCTTATAGTAAAAGAAAGAGTCTGGAAGTATTATCATTACAAGATGGCAACTCACCAAATCAGTAGGCAGGAATTTGACAACATCACCACAGGAATTGGGGTCTATACGGAAGCAGCTTTGCTTGCCAACCACATTGAGCAGCACAGCTTGGACTACCTCCCTCGTCCGCATGCATTCCACCCAAAAACTTCTATCGATGCTCAAATTAATCTTCAGGGAAATGACACCCCACAGGATCCACATCTTCACGGATGGCTCCAAGTCTGACAAAGGCATTGGGTGCTCAATGGTGGTCACCTACAACAAAACGAATTTATACCAGGTGCAGTACAAGCTTGGCAATCACTGCACTGTTAACCAAGCAAAGTCACTAGCCATATTCCATGCCCTACAGTGAACTTTGAACAACATTCATCAACACAACACAAAGAACATCACCATTCTTAGCGATAGCCATGTTGCACTCCAGCAACTGAAAAAGCTGAACAGCACCAACGGTCTACCAAAGCATCAACATTATAATTCATTTACGCAGTAACATCAACATCAGGCTCCACTGGGTGAAACGTCATGCTGATAATGCTGGCAACAAGAGAGCAGACTTGCTGGCCCGCACCGCTCCAGAAAGGATCACTCACTATTCTTTCAGTGCTATTTCCTCTAAATGGCTTCACAACCAAATCAGAGACTACTCCTGGAAACATTGGCAAGACAGGTGGGACACTGGTACAACAGGTAGGCTCACCCACCAATTTATTCCTAGTGTGAAACAGTCGCAGTTATAAACACCTGATTCTCTCCTTCTCAACTACACAGATGTATACAGGGCATGGAAACTTTCGCAGTTACCTGAAAAAGTTTCTGAATAAAACTGATGGACTCTGCCCATGTCCTCTCAAAGAACAGGGGCCATATTCTGATCACTGTCTCTGGTCTCTCGTCTCTCATAAGCCGGTCACTGATTGGCTAATCCAAATAATTAGCCAATCAGCGACTGGCTTGTGAGAGACCAGAGACAGCGACCAGAATACGGCCCCAGGAAGACCCACTGCACATTCTCTTTCACTGCCCTATTTACTCAAGCCAATGAAAGGGACTCACAAATGAAATACACAACAGGAATGAGCTCTGGCCCTGTAAGCTTTGGGTCTTCAGGGAAAACAAACACATCTCCAAAGCCTTCATTCAAGACATCAAGATATTGGACTAGCACGGTGTAATCTATGTTTGCATTCCTGTAATTATCATGGTAATAGTAAATGTATTCCCTGTTATTTAATGTAAATCTTTACGTCACTGTATACCAACTACTAAAATTTTTTCTACAAAGTCACCAAATTATGTACGTAAAAGTATTACTTGTGTAACTTTCCACTTTGAAATTTTACTTTAAGTACTGTAAAATTTTACAGTAATTAAGAATTAGATAATGTTTCCTTTAAGACAATGCTATTATTGAAAAGGACAGTTTTAGTTACTGTATTTTCATGTGTGTATCCCAAGGCCGTGTATAACCCATGATGGCATAACCCCATAAAATATTGCTATAATGAAAATAAGAAATTTGTATACCCTGTGCACAAGGAGCAGCTATTACTCTGCAGGCATGAGTTTGTAATCACAAATTAAAACTGGTATACAATTCACCTCATCACAAAACATATACCCTCTTCAAATTGTCTTTTAAACATAGGTGACCCACAGATTATATGCCCAAAAATATACTGTTAATTAAATTTTTTAATTGAAAATTTTAAAAATCAATTGATTGGCTATTTTATATTATGGTATTTGAAAGTCTAGTAAATCTATAATTTAATTCTTTACAATAGATTAGCATGGTGTAGAGATCTTTCAAATAATTGTAATTCTTGGACTTCGAACTCAAAATTGAGTTTTTAATAAACACTTGGTTTAGAATTGTAATTCTATTTCTAATTAACTGTTAAATTTTTTTTTTTCATAATCATAAAATAGTTTAAATAATTTTTAATGAAAATATTAAAAATATATAATTTTCTTAATATTTTAAAACAAAGCTATAAGCATGAAAATTATTTTTACAGACACAATGTAAAATAATTATAAATATTTTATGACTAAGACAAAACCTTTCACACTTTGTTTCTGCAGTTTAATCACTAAGTACAAACATTTTAGGCCATTTTGAATGGCCTTCTTCATTCACACACCTTAAATTTTAATATCAAAAGATAATTAACAACATCAATATCGTCTAAACTTTGTTATCAACAATGACGTCACTAGTAAGAAGAAACCTATGTAAACAGTGACACCATTTGAATATCTGCTAACCGACGTTCCAACCGACCTAATTGTACCTGAAGAAGGCCATTCAAAACAGCTGAAAACGTTTGTACTTAGTGATTAAACCACTAGAAACAAAGTGTGAAAGGTTTTGTCTTAGTCATTTTAAGTAGTTCTAGCTTCAAATGCATAGAAGTATAAATATTTTAAATTACATAATTAATTTTTTCATATTATCTAAAATTCTGAAGTAAAATTGATCAAATAGAAAACAATTTTTCACAAAATTAACTTTTACTGACTGCTAAAATGATATTTACATTTAATAACTTACCTAATTAATAATGGTATGCATTGAATATTCTGTACCCTGGATGTAAAAGGTGATGCTACTGAAGCTTCAGCCACTGATAAAGAAACGCCAGTATGTGCTGCTTTTAATGCTCCACAATCATTTGCTCCATCTCCACACATCCCTACCTGATGACTATAAAAATTAGTATGTAAATATAAAGTTTGGCAATTAAGTTTAAGAACTATGTATATTTTAGAGGAAATTATGTCATAATGAAAGACTTTTAATACTATTCAAAAAGAATTTCTTCTGGGCATTAAAAGTGTGCTCATTAAACTCATTTAAATTTTTCATTCATTATATTGCATTGTCTTTATCTTGAAATAATTTTTTTCAATGTCAATTTGATTTTGAGAACAAGAAATACTTTGCAAAAAATAGTTCAAAGAAATTAGAAAAATGATTTAGTTCTGCAATCTAATGCTTTGCTAAAACTTCTTACTCTAGTTTAATATGATATGCATTCATTGACAAAACAGTTATGCACCAAGAATGAAACTATTAATGTAAAAATATAACAACAATGATAGTAAGTGATTACAAATATTGTAGCAAAGGGACAATTTCCAATGAAACAACAGTACAATTTGAAAGAACCTTTAGTACCTTGCATGACCTTTTACCTGGATACACGTGACAATATTATCAGATATGAAGGCAAACAGATACTTTAAGCTAATTTGCAACAGTTTGTCCACAGACGTTATTTATTTATTTATTTTATATAAAAAAGGAAATGTCTCAAGACAACTGTTATCCTTCCCAAAAAAATAATGCCTGCAACAAAAGATTATAATACAAATAACAAAGAATAAAAATCAAAGATGTTACAACTGCCACTCCATATCTCTTGTATTTAATGGCAACAGTTGGCATCCCATCTGGTCCCACAAATGTGGGCAACAAATCTGGAGACTGGGCAGGCCAAGAAAGACAACATAACAGAGAAATTCCTGAAAATCCTAGCCATGTGATTGAGCATTGCGTTACTGGAAAATGAGTTTGTATCCCTGATCATTTCTCTTTTTGGTCTGTCTGGACATCCTGAACCTTTCTGTCTACCCTAACATCATTTCACAGTTATATCAAAATGGCCCAGATGGCAGGCACTTTGGCTTCCCTCAGCCTAATGATAATGCTTCTAGATCCATCATTGGTTTAAATCAGAATCAGAGTCAATATATATATATATATAGCTTTGTTTTCATATTTTTAATGTCATTGTCATTAAATTAATTATTTTAATATTTCTCAAAAATTATTAACACTTATATGCTTTCCTAAATTTATGTAGATATATTTGAAGATAGTAATAAAGATAATATAATTTTAAAGAAAATTCATGTCTTATGAAATAAATATTTTCCTTTTTTGAATGAAGTATAGATAATAAATCCATTAAATTTAAATTCTTTTTTTTTTAAATAGTAAATAACTAATTTTTACAAACATTTATTTAAATACTTTTCACAAATAATAAAATTACAATGCTAAAATAATTCTATTTTTAATAAAATGTAAATGTAATAAAAATATTATTTAGAAACTTAAATAAATTTGATATTCATTAAAATTAAGAAAAAAATTAATAAATAATCAAAATAAACAACTTGTAACTACTTATGTCTCATTATTAAATTTAACTTCACAAAGGGCACAGAACAATATTGCTCAGGCTGTCAGATAATCAATAAAAATATAACATATTACTCCTGTATGATAGTTATAAATAAAATTCAAATAAATTTAATAAATAATTAACAAAACTATAAAAGTATATTATAATCTCATCAAAATAGCATACTCTAAATTTTGAAGAGCTTCTATTAAATGTAACTTTTGTTCTGGTAACATTCGAGCAAAAATTGTCCCTTTTTGAACAATCTGAAATAACATATTAGAAAATTTGTAATTATAAAAAAAATTATTAATTATTTTCCAGTTTCATTAATATATTATTTATCTACAATTTAGCATTTAATAGTTAAAACATAAAATAAAATTAATAGGATTGTAATAATAAGAAATATATTAATTTAGTAAATTAAATAAGCTATTTTGAATCTTGCAACTACAAGCAGCACACTACTATCTGGTAGCAGAGCTGCTAAGCATCTTTTTGGTGCATGAATGAGACTTATTAATTAGAAAGAGTGAGATCACTGATTTTATACAAATATTGTGTCAATCACCAATGAAGTTCAATTACTGTGGCATGGTTCTTAGCTGATGAAGCACAGAACAGAAATAAGGTCCAAATCACATATCAATAGAATGCAATCAGTTAAAATAAAATTGGCATAAGAATAGATTCTATTACACACATTTTTATTATTTTACAGTAGAATCTCATTTTAATGAATTGCTTGGGTTGCTGGAAATCATCCATTGTTCCTAGAATCCATTATATTGTGAACAACAGATTTCCCTCACACCCAGGAAAGTATCCATTATAAGGAAAAATTTCCATTTTTCAACCTCCTATATATAAGAAATCTAGTAATTGAAATTATTCAGTCTCTTGAGATCTCTATTCTTTACTCTGTAGAAATATGTATGCTACAAGATCATATATTATGCTGTACAGTACATGTTTATGATAAAGCTGATGGAAACTGTAAGTGCAAAAAGAGGCAAATTACTTATGCTCATTAGCACTTCACTGATTTCAGAATTTATTAAAATACTCATTTATCTTGGTTTGTTTTTGTGCTGCTTTTCTGCCTATTGAATACAATAACTGTTGAATACAATAATTGTGAAGTTTACAATAGGTAGAGCTAAAAAATAATCTTTCCAAGTTATTCCAAGTTTCAGAACTGCTAAAAGTAGGTAAAATTACATTGATTTGGTGGGACCTAGGGAAAAAAATCCATTATTATTAGATATTCATTGTTTTATGATCTGCTAAAACGAGATTCTATATTCTTCTAATGTATATACCCTTATAATGCTCTGTATTATACAATTACATTGTTTTCTTTGCTTTTTTAATTCTGTTTTAATCTATTGTCTGCTGGAGCTCAAATAAATGGAAAGACTCAGGTACAACCAGTACTGACATTTAAGAAAAATAAAATATACAATGCTAAGGAAAAAAATTACCAAAACTAATTAATATTTACTAAGTTATTTCATAAAAAAATTGAATAAACCTTATCTTTATTTAATAATTTTATGTTTTATAAATATGCCTTTTACCCATATTAATGTCCAGTGCCGGCCTGAGGCAAGTTTTAGGATGGAGCGAGATCCTATTATGGCGCCCAGGGATGGAACCTCGCCCACGGACTCGAACTACGAGCGTCTCAACAGATAAGGCCATTCACATACTGGTCACACGCTTGCAATTAAAATATCGAAAAGTGAAAAAATATATTTTTTCCTTTAATTTTTTTACCACTAAGGCGCCCCTAGGACTTAGCGCCTGGAGCGGCTGCTCCGTTCGCCCTATGGTAGGGCCAGCTCTGTTAATGTCTTTTACCAATATAGTAGAGCGTCGTTTATCCAAATCAATTGAAGACTGGGGTTGTCCGGAAAATCGATATTTCGGATAACTGATTATGTACGAAAAAATATATTAACCTATCCCATGTTGAAATTTTTCTCCATTGCGTGTCACTTT